CCGATGTGCAGGGCGGGGCTGTTGTTCTCGCGGACGCGCAGGGTGTAGGTGGTTTGGCTGAAGGCGGGGGCGTTGTCGTTGACGTCGGAGACCGTCACGGTTATGTTGTGCTGCGTTTTCAGCCTGGGGGTCCCCAAGTCGGTGACGGTGATGGTGATGTTGTACTCAGATCTTGTCTCTCTGTCTAGCACTCCTTCTGTTACTAACTTGTAGAAATTTTCAAGAGAATGTTTCAGAGTGAAGGGGACATCTTCCTGGATGGAACAAACCATCCTCCCATTTTCCCCAGAGTCTGGGTCTTGAATACTGAAAAGAGCTATCGTGGTCTCAGGGGAATTTTCAGGGATGGAACTTATAAGGGAAGCTACGGTCATTTCTGGGGTGTTGTCATTTATATCCACCACCTCTATTATGACAGTGCATTTTCCCGAAAGACCTGCTCCATCAGAAGCCTTAATATCCAGCTCATATGACTTAATTTTTTCAAAATCTAATTTCCTAATTATTTTAATTTCTCCTGTGAGTTCATTAAGTGCAAATGTCCTAGTAATCTCTTCATCACCATAGAAAAATGAATAGACTACTTCACCGTTTATTCCTGTGTCTAAATCTCTAGCTGAAACAGTGACAATAAGAGATCCCAGGGGACTGTTTTCCAGGATCTGCACACGATAGAGTGGCTGCACAAACTCAGGAGCATTGTCATTGATGTCCAAAACATCAATGAGGACCAGGGTAGTCCCAGTTTTGGGAGGAGTTCCACCATCTACTGCCATGAGAGTTAATCTAAACTCGGGCTGCTGTTCTCGATCTAGGGCTTTGTCCAGAACCAGTTCCGGGTATTTTCTGCCTTCACCGCTGTTGCGGGTGAGCACGTGGAAATGGGAGTTGGGATAAATGGTGTAGTTTTGAACATTATTGACACCTACATCCAAATCTTGCGCATTTTTCAGGGGAAACACAGCCCCTGGAAGAGTATTTTCCATGATTTTTAAAATCATTTCTGCCTCTGGGAACACAGGGGAATTGTCATTTATGTCAGTGACCAAAAGCTTATACCTATATACCTCCAAAGGTTCTTCCAGTAACACTTGAAATTGCAGTACACAAGGTTCAGTGGGGCCACACAATTCTTCCCGATCCAGTTTCTCATTTACTTGTAAATCTCCAGTCTGAAGGTTCAGCTGAAATTGCTTTTTGTCATTGTTAAAAATGATCCGAGCCCTCCGCCGAGAGAGCTCTCTTGCCCCTAGCCCTATATCCTTTGCTAGATTGGCCACAAAAGAACCACTCTCTGTTTCTTCTGTAATAAAATAATCTTCCCGCTCCGCGCAAGTGTGAGCCAGCAAAACAAAGAGAAGAAGAACTTGCCTTAGTCTAGGAAAACGCTCCTCTTCAGCCTCCATTTCTCCAACGCCAAAAGCCTTTAGAATCTGGGTACTTACTGGGTCTTTAGGCAAACTGCTCTGCAAGTCGATCCCTGCCGCAAGGTTAATTCTCTTCTCTTAGATCTGCATATGACTGCAGGAACAGTAACCATCCCCGGTCTGGTATTCCCAGCCTTAGCTTACAGCGCCACCATGTGTTGTACTTAAACCTAGTTTGCTGACGATGCTACAAAACGTATCACTCATTTTATTTACACGCACACACAAAAACATACCACAGATTACACATGGGATGGTTTATAAATAAAATGATAACTTGTATTCTCCTGTGAAGTTATAAATGTGGAAATGGTGACAGACACTTTAGGAAAGGATGTTGGCAAGAACAAAGCCAACTGTATTTGTTCAACAAACACTTATTTCATGTTATACGTCAAATATTGTACTAAGTGTTGGAAATACAACTACCTTCTCTGACCTCATGGATTTGTCTATTATATTGTATAATCCGTGCTCTGGGGAAAAATTAAGTAGAAAACGGTGTTGCTATCAGTCTATTCCTAAACAAAGAATATACACAAACTCACTGCCACTACAGTAGGTGAAGAGATTCATTCACATGTTTCAGGAGTATAAACTTAAGTGATAGACCAGCTAGAATTGGTTTACTATGCAAATTCAATAGAAAGTTTAAGGGGTGGGGCACCTGGGTGGTTCAGCGGGTTAAGCATCAGTCTCTTGATTTCTGCTCAGGTCATGATCTCAGGGATGGTGGGATCCAGCCCTACATAAGGCATGCTGACAGCGTGGAGCCTGCTTGGGATTCTCTGTCTCTCTGCCGCTAACCTGCACTTGCTCTCTCTCTCAAAATAAAGAAATAAACTTAAAATTTAAGAAATAAAATTTTAAAAAAAGAAAGTTTAGGAGTGCCTGGGCAGCTCAATAGGTGAAGTGTTGGGACTTTGGCTCAAGTCATGATCTCAGGGTTCGTGAGTTCCAGCCCCACATTGGGCTCTCCACTGTCAGCATGGGGCCACTTGGGATCCTCTGTCCCCAGATCACTCTGTTCCTCCCCCCACTCTCTTTCTTTCAAAAATAAATAAACATAAAAAAAGTTGAAGGGGTTATGGATGACTTATGTGTAAATATTGTCTAAGGAGAACGTGTCTGTACCTATGTGAGCATACTGTATTGATTTGTTCCATTGTCCAAAACAATTTGTGAAGATATCTACATTTATTCCTAAAATCAAGACACATGTTGAAGCAGAGATTCACTGAGATCTTGGAAAATAGCATGGTGAAGATCATAAAAATAAAGGGCTGAACTTAAACCAATAAATAAAGTGCAGAAGAAAATAAGTTGGATTCATCTGAAAGAGCAGGTAAAACATATCAAATAAGGAAGATCACAACTCATTTTTAGCAAGCAGCTCACATGTCTCTGAATAGCTTGGGATCCTGGCACCCTAGCATGACTTCAGAGTCCTAGCAATGGGAAAAACATCTTGTGGTAGGGGGGGGATCTGTGTCTCCCCAGTTGCGTCAAACTTTAGCCAAAATTTTAATAACTTTTAAATAGATATTATCATGTACTCTGGTACACTAATACGTGGCTAACTGGGAAAACAGCATGGGCCAAGTGTAAAAACTGTGTTGCATATTAGTTTAATTCTATTAAGGTGCAAATCACTCAAACTGACGTTCTATTTTATAATATTTTCCTCTACTCAGCAAAACAAACTTGATTATGTAAATCCAAAATGTGAGAACATGCTGGTAACGATTAAAATCTGATAATTTTCCTCATAGAAAGATGTTGGTCATGCATCAAACTCTTTATTATAGAATCAAAAGTCCAAGAAAATGTGCCCTTAATGTCCATGCACTTTAAAAAATATTAATAGGTAGATGCTGGTACCTGTATCAGTAAATTAATGGATCAAAATTAGTTTTTCATTCCCATTTGTCATCTCTCAGATAAATTTTCTCATTATTTTCTCTTCTGAGAAGAACATTTTAAGCCCATATACTTGGTAGAAAGCTTGAAATTTTTTTCATGAAAGTTCTAGTAATAGACTAGCATCAATCAAATTACTACTAATGAAATCATGAATTACCCCATATTATTTATAAATGGGATTATTTATAGATCTGAAGATTTTACATTAAATGATAAAATAATTCTGTTCACATTGAACTTAGTTATTTTTAAAAGAGATGCTAAGGAAGGTTTGATGTATAGATATCCAAACAATAACAAATTCAATGTTACTTTTTAAAACTAATCCTGAAGCACATTTTAAAAAAGGAGGGATACCTGTTAACAAAATATTCCATAAAACATTTTATAACATCTTTAAGTTGAAAGATCTTATAAATTATTTACAAAATTAAGTTTTGTAACAAAACTCTCTAGTACAGATTAGTTATCTCTAAGCTTGTACATTTTTATCCCATTCATTGATTAAGTTAATATTAAAAACCTGCAGTAAAAGACCAGAGTTTATGGTAGTCTAATTGAATACTCAAAATTGCATGTATCATTCCAAAAGAGTTTGGTTTCAACAAATGCCTTCTCCCCAAGATGCGTTAAATAAAGGAGTGTTATTATTAGGGAACTGGAGTTTCACTGCAAATGTGAAGGACAATTAGACATTAGGGACTTAGGAACACTGGAATCAGGAACTATGCCTAGAATCAAATGGCTCTTAGTCTCTTCTGTTTCTTAGGCTTCTGCCTCCACCACTCCCTTATTCCTTCTCATTTTCCTTCCAGTCCTCCTTTCAATTTAATTTTTTTTTCCAACGTTTATTTATTTTTGGGACAGAGAGAGACAGAGCATGAACGGGGGAGGGGCAGAGAGAGAGGAAGACACAGAATCGGAAACAGGCTCCAGGCTCTGAGCCATCAGCCCAGAGCCCGACGCGGGGCTCGAACTCACGGACCGCGAGATCGTGACCTGGCTGAAGTCGGACGCTTAACCGACTGCGCCACCCAGGCGCCCCCAGTCCTCCTTTCTTTCTTCCCTCTCTACATGCCACTCTGTGCTGCCAGCTTACACAAGTATAACATAGCTACCTCAGCCCATACTTAATATTTATTTCCTAGTTACAAGCAATCAAGAAAAAAAATAGATGAACTACATCATAAGTAGAAATTTAGAGGCTTGGAGAATGTGACTATGCCTACTTTAATCGGGAGTCTATTACTAGGCTAATCAAAAATGGCCAAGAGAGGTAAAGAAAAGTATAATAAACATCTCAACAGTGATTACCTGCCTTGGGAAGTCCCAGGAAGTTCTCAGACAAGAAGTGTGGGCTGAGTATGTTTCTTAATCCAAACAAGAATAAAATTTATTTTAATACATCTTCCAGCAATATATACAGTTCCAAAGTGTTTACAAAGAAAAATACCTAAATGCAGAAAAATTACTCAAATATTTGGTTGGAAAGATTGGCAAAATTGATTATGGTTTTTAAAAAAATCTAAATAAGATAACATCTCAGAAACCATGCATGGTTTTTATTTATATCATGCACTTTCCTCTATCAAACATATAAAAACAGTTTCAGTGAGAGGATCTACAGCTTAGACACCCAGAGAATATGACTGAACCCAGTGTACCATTAAACTTGAAGGGAAAATGCTGTATATTTGAATAAATTACTTGAGGTTGCATTTTGGAAGAAAGTCTAAGCAAATCCTAGCTCCCTTACTTTTTCCACAGTTAATATTTAAAAAGTAGATAGCAGAAAATTCATCAAAACTTCTGGAAACTCTTAAGTAAAATGAAGTTACCCAAAACAAAGAATTTTACATTACAATGAACATATTTTACAAAGAAATAGCACTCACTCTAAAAGTTCTGCAGAGTAATCAAATCCCTAAATGAACTCAAAGCCATTCAGAAAGGTGTGGCTTTCCTCCATTTTACCTTCTGGGGGAGAGACGTTGGGGGTAGCGGGTTTAAGGAACTTGAATTCACTGGTCCCCGATCCTCCCCGCAGACACACCTCATACTGGTAGCTCTGGGACAGCGTCCCCGCGCCGCTGACGTCCACCAGGTGGCCCGGAAAGTGGCCCTCAGGCCCCGAGCAGCGACCCGCAGACGCCGCCCGGCTCCGCCTGCACAGCCGCACCGCCACGAACACCAGCACCGAGAACAGGAAGAGCGACGACACGGACGCCAAGGCGACGACCAAGTAGACGGTGAGGCGGGTCGCCCGTCAGGCCTCGCCGCCGCCGCCGCCGGCCACCTCCGGGAGCGGCAGGTAGGGCTGCGAGAAGCCGTCCACCAGCAGCACGTGCAGCGTGACGCTGGTCGAAAGGTTGCCATTGTCTCGACCAGCACCACTTAGCCTGTGCTTAAGGCCAAGGCCTGGATAGCAGTCGGGCCGTAGCGCATCTTCGCCGCTAGGTGCCCACACGCCGAACAGCCCGGGCTCCGTGGCCTTGAGCAGCTGGTACGACAGCCAGGCGTTCTGGTCTGAATGCCGGCCATTCAATCGCCACCACCTTTAACACAGGTAGCTCGCTCGGTCGGACGGCACCAGCTCGGTGCAGGGCGCAGAGCCGTTCTGCGGCGGGTACAGCACGGCGGGCGCTACATCGCTAGGGTCCAGAAGTACCAGCACGCCAGACCGCTTCGCATGTTGAGCTGCTGAAGCCGCTGGTCGGGTCAGCGGGCCGCAGACGCCGACCGAACGCCTGGAAAGCGCTCAGAACCGGGACCTGAGCGCGAACAGCTGCCCGTTGTCCGCGTTGATGGACACCAGGGAGGCCAGAGGCAGCTGGGCGGGTCCGCGGGCGGCAGCAGCGAGTAGGTCACCTGGGCGTTGACGCCCGAGTCCCTGTCCGTGGCGCTCACGCTGCCGATGTGCAGGGCGGGGCTGTTGTTTTCGCGGACGCGCAGGGTGTAGGTGGTTTGGCTGAAGGCGGGGGCGTTGTCGTTGACGTCGGAGACCGTCACGGTTATGTTGTGCTGCGTTTTCAGCCTGGGGGTCCCTAAGTCGGTGACGGTGATGGTGATGTTGTACTCGGCCTGGCTTTCTCTGTCCAGTGGGAGTCCTGCTACCAGAGTGTAGAAATTCTTGAAGGTAGGCTTCAGGAGAAAGGGGAGATCGTCCTCAATTGAGCACACCATCCTCCCGTTGTCCCCAGAATCTTGGTCTCTTACACTGAAAATAGCGACCACCATCTCAGGCGACGAATTTTCTGGTATGGGGCTGGTAAGAGATGTCATGACTATTTCTGGTGGGTTGTCATTCACATCCACAACCTGAACTAAAACTGCTGATTTTCCCAAAAGGCCACCACCATCTGTTGCCTGAATATTTATTGTAAATGACTGAATTAATTCAAAATCCAGAAGCGCTTTTAAGCGGATTTCACCAGAAATTGGATGGATTTCAAATGTTTTCCGTATGTCTCTGGAGACATGGGAAAATGAGTATGATAGTTCTCCATATATTCCCGCATCCAAATCTGTAGCAGACACCCTAACGACCAAGGAGTCCAGAGGGCTGTTTTCTGGTACCTGAACCTCATAGACAGACCTCTCAAACTCTGGAGCATTGTCATTGATATCGAAGACCAAAATACGAACAACTGTAGTTCCAGACCTGGACGGGGACCCGCCATCCAAAGCTGTTACAATTAATGTAAACTCAGATTCCTTTTCTCGATCCAGAGATTGGTCCAGGAACAGCTCTGGGTATTTTCTTCCATCATCACTGTCTTGTAATTTAAGATGGAAATAAGGATTGGGGCTTAATGTGTAGTTTTGGACACCATTCTTTCCTACATCCAAGTCCTGGGCACTGTCCATTGGAAATGAGGCTCCTGGAGCAGTACCTTCTGAGATTTTCAGAAGTATATGTTTGTCTAGGAATGCAGGGGTATGATCATTTATGTCATTGACCCAAAGCTCAGCCCGAAAAAACTGTAAAGGATTTTCAAATAATACCTGGAAATGCAATATACATGGTTCTGTGAGATGGCAAAGTGCCTCCCGGTCCAGTTGTTCATTTAAGAGCAAGTTGCCAGTCTGCTGATCCAACTGTAAATATGGTTTATGGTCATCAAAGATGACTCTTGCCCCCCGTGCAACCAAGTCTTCAACACCCAAACCTGTATCTTTCACCACATTGGCTATAAAGGAGCCAATTTCCATTTCCTCTGATATAGAATAGCGCCAGGGCTCTGAACACACCAAAGACCCTCCCAGGAAAACAAAGAAAAGCAGCACTTGCCTTATCTGCTGAGGGCACCTCTCTCCTGACTCCATGGCTCCTTAGCCAAACGTCTTTCTGCAGAAATGTTTCAACTCAGTCGCAAACAGCTCCTAAATTGCTCCTCTCATCTATCAGCCTGGACCACTGGTAATCTGTGGACTTGTAATCCTGCCACGAAGGTGTTGTTGGTTCCTTAGCTTTCTCTTGAAATCCTCTTTTCCCCCTTCCTGCTTCTCCTGTGCTCTCAGTTCCACTGACTAATGGAGACCAGAGCATTTGATGATACAGAAAAGTCCCCATCTTATCCTGCAGCGCCACCACGCGACTGCAGATTCTCAGGTTTTAAACAGTCAAGTAAGTGTGAGACAAAATATTAATTTATCTTCTGTATTGATTAAATTACACTTTCTCCTATATTCTTATTTTCTGAGTTGCATTCTTTGTGATATGCGATGCTATTACTATTCAGTCTTTAACAGAATAAACCACAATCTGTTAAGAGCTGGGTGAATACAAAAATCATATGTAAGATATAGCCCCCAATTCAAGTAAGTTATGATCTCTCTTTGAAGACAATGTATAAAATAACTACAAATAGTTAAGTGGATTCATGTAATTGATTTTGTAAGCAGAATGTTCCCAGGAAAATTGGAAAGGAAAGGGGAACCAGAGGCTTTGTCTTCTTTAGGTATCAGCAAAGTCTCTTAGAAAAGACAATAAGATCATGCATTTGTAACTGAACCTGATACATGCAAATAGTTGCTTTGGGGAGGCTGGGCATTTCAGGTTCGGTAAAAGGTACTATTTACTTAGGGATACTCTGTAGGAGACTTACCTGTCAGCAGTAGAAAGTAAATACTCAACAGTAGGTAATAAAGTAAGATATGTCGAGTTTCTGACATTAAAAAGTTGAACAAACTAGATCCAAGTTTAGTTGTGGAAAATAAACCTATTTTGTAGACCCAGGCCTTCCAGAGGCATAACTATAAATATTTTACTCATCCATTCATTACTTTGTCGAGCAAATATTTATTGAGCATATAACTTGTCCTAGGAATAGTAGTGAGTATTAGCGATACAGTGGTAAGCAGACAGACATAGTTCCTGTCCTGAAAGATGGAGGCAGAAAAGTGATTACACATTTAAAAATAGAACATAATGAATACCATGATAGCAAAAGTTCATATGCTATTGTTAACGACATAGATAAGGGTCATCTGACCAGAATTTGGAAATACAGGAAACACTTTCCTGGAACAAAAATTGGGGGTTAAGTAAAATTTCCAGACAATTTCAAAAAACACTTGTACAAATCTGAGATGACAGAACTGTTTTGGAATAACTAAAATAGGATCAATATGGCTGAGCCATAGAGCAAGAGGAAAGAAATGAGAACTGAGACTGGAGAGATAAGCAAATATTTTGTAAGCCCTGCCAAGGCATTTGGACTCTACATCAGTGGAAATGCAATGTTTTAAAGGCTTTTAAATATAAAAGGAGATGATATTAACCTCAACTAGAAATGCAATAATAAGATTGTATTAAAAAGATGACAAGGGACTCCTGGATGGCTCAGTCAGTTAAGCATCCAACTTCGGCTCAGGTCATGATCCCATGGTTCCGGAGTTTGAGCCCAGTGCAGAGCCTGCTTTGGATCTTCTGTCTCCCTCTCTGTCTGCCCCCTCCCTCTCTCAAAAATAAGCATTTTAAAAAATGATAACTTTACAGGATGTGTGACAGATTTAAACATGGAGGAGGTCTGATAAGAAAAAGTGAAGTAAATGTACCTTTTTTCAGGTTTAGGGAATGGAGTGAATGTCGGTGCTATTAACTGATAGAAAAAAACAGGAAGAGGAGAAGAAAGGAACAGGTATAGAGTTGGAGGTAATGTTTAGGTTTGAGGAAGGAAAAATTTTAATTTAAAACATGTTGAGTTTGAATTATCCATAGAGCATCCCATATAAATAGTTCTATAAATGATCTTACATTATATAAAGTTGAGAAGAGACGTTTGAGGGGCAGAAGCTAATTTGGGGTTTATTGGTATAAATCGTGATTGCAGCCCTTAAAGAATGTAAGCTGTACATTAGGAGTGTGCTTGATTTTGTGATTTCAGAGATGATGTAGTTCTGAGAGACTACCATCTCCAGACAGTGACCATGATCTTAGGTGACTAAGACTAGACTAGAAATGAATGTCACCAGAAACGAAGACGGCTAGAAGAGAGGTCAGACTCCTGGACTTGAAATTGTGGCAAGGAATGGACAGAGGAAAACTGTAAGAAGTTATATTTGAGAAATCAAATGTCTTTACGCCACCTCTCTCCTATGATCTTGTTTAATTTTTTAGTTTATTTATTTTAAGAGAGAGAGAGAGTTCAAGCAGGAGAGGGACAGAGAAAGAGTTAGAGATAGAACCCCAGGCAGGCTCCAGGACAGTGTGCGGAGTCCAGAGTCTAACTAGGGGCTTGAGGGTAGGTCTTGAATCCACAAGCCAGGATATCATGACCTGAGCTGAAATCAGTAGTCCCTCGGCCAACCGACTGAGCCACCCAGGTGCCCCCCCCCCATCTTGTTTAATTTAAACCCAAACTGATCTCTCTCATTTGATTCTCATTTAATGACTCTTATGTGCAAAGACTGTTAAGGCAGAAGATTTGCTAATCTCTTTCAGCATATTGAAGATATCTTACTTTTAGTTTTCAGTGCCACAGTTTAGAGATTGTCAACATGGAACATAGCTGTCTGTCTAACTGTCATGTATTTAAAGATTACATGTCTTTTCCCTATGCGTTTTCATTTTTATATATTTTTTTAATTTATGCAATCTCTATATAATATATCTTATATATACATAATATATATATAATATATATATGATATATATATTATACATATATATAATATATATATAATATATATATAATATATATATAATATATATATATTATATATATATATATAAATTTTTTACGTGGGCTCCACACCCAACGTGGGGCTTGAATTCACAACCCTAAGATTAAGAGTCATGTGCTCCACCAATGAACCAGCCAGACATCCCTACAATATTTTTCAAATATTGCTTCTGATCCTATCTTAAACCTTTTTAGCTGTCCTATGTTTCTAACCATATCCTCCATATTTTTCATCTTCTGAACTCTCTGAGCTATATGCTAGATAAATTATATTCTGACCTATCTTTCACTTCTCAAATTATTCATCTGGTAATATCTACTTTCCTAATAAACCTTTTATTGAGTTTTGATTGAATTTAAATTTTGGTTATATATTTCAGATATAGGATTTCTATTTGGTTCTTTAATAATCTGTCACATTTCTTATTCCCTATACATCTTCAAGTATAACCTTTAAGTGTTCAGTATATTATTAGATTATGTCTGCTAATCAAAATGTTTGAGGTATACTTCTGTGTTCTGTTTTTTTTCTGCTGGCTCTCACTCATGGTGTCATGTTTCCTTGTGTATGCAGGTATCTTTGTTCAAGTTAAGAATGGAAAACTTATTTATATGAATGTTTTTAGCCTTAGGATGAGCTTTCTTACATAGAAGGTCTGCTTTTGGTTCCATCAGGATCTGGAAGCACTACTTGTCAACAACCACTAACAAGTTCAGAGCTGAATTTCCACACAAGAACTTGCCCATTTCCAGTTTACTTTCATCTCAAAGGTATATCTCTTAGGGATCCATTTTTATTAATGCAGAGCTCTTCTATAAACTTCTCACTTTGTTATGCTTTGATTTCCTCCCTTATTATATAAACCATCAAAATATAAACCTTATTATATAAACCTCCCTTATTATATAAACACTTTCCAGGATTCTATAGATTCCAGGGAAAAGGTAGTTTTTAGGTTCATTTATCTCCTTGGATTACCCTTAGACATTAGTTGTGACCTGATAATATATTAGTGTCTTATTAGCTAATTTTTTTCAGTGGAAGCATTGGTCTACATAATCTATACCATCCTTATGAAAAATAAGTCTCAAGGATATTATTATGTCTCAAAGTTACAACTCTTAGCTTCCTAGAGTATGGGCAATTGACCTCAGGAAGATAGAGAAATAATATGCATTTTTTACCAACTTCAACTAATCAATACTAAATCAACTCTATAATGCTGCAATCAATTAAAACAATCTCTTGGAAGACACAATCTCTGTCATTGACATTGGTATATCTCCCACTTCTGTGTCCCTTATTCTGCTTTAAACACATCTTCTTTCCTGCATTTCTTCCATATTTCTGTCCCTCCAATATGCTTATTTATATATTTATAAATATATAAGATATTATGTATTACATAGATACGTATGGCACTGTGCCATAAATTTCAGTATCTTTCTTCCTTTCAAAATATCTGGGGGGGGGGGGGGGGGGTGCCTCGGTGGCTCAGTCAGTTAAGTGTCTGACTCTTGATTTTGGCACAGGTCATCATCTCATGGTTCATGAGATAAGCCCCACGTCAAGGCCTGCATTGGCAACTCAGAACCTGCTTGGGATTCTCTCTCTGCCCCTCCCTGACTCATGCTGCCTCTGTTTCTCTCAAAACAAATAAATAAAAATAAACGTTAAAGTATTTGGCATTTAGGGGTGCCTGGGTGGCTCATTCGGTTAAGCGTCCAACCTCAGCTCAGGTCATGATCTCGCAGTTCGTGGGTTCGAGCCCTGCATCAGGCTCTGTGATGACAACTCAGAGCCTGGAAGCCTGTTTCAGATTCTGTGTTTCCCTCTCTCTCTGCCCCTCTCCCGCTCACGCTCTGTCTCTCTCTCTCTCTCTCTCTCAAAAATAAAATAAACACTAAAAAAACTAATAAAATAAAAAATAAAATATCCTTCAGAAACCTTTTCCACATTTCATTTATCAGTTGTTTCACTGATGGATATGTAGGATTGACTCCTATTCTTGGGATTGATTCCCAAGATGAACATTCTTATATATATCATTTGTGAATCCGTGAAAGAAATTTTCTGGCTTATACCTCTTAAACTTATAACATTGTGTGTCAACTATACTTCAATTAAAAATTAAAGAATTTTCTGTCTTATTTACCCGAAGTAGAATTCCTGAATCAGAGGGTACATTCATTCTAAATTTCATTAAGTACTATGAAAATCTCTCAAAGTGGGCTGTACATGTGATTTCCTGTTGTTCCACTTGATATTATGCAAATTTCTCATTTTTACGCATGCAATGGGTGTAAACTAGTGTCTTATTGTAGTATGTTTTTTCACCAACTAATGAGATCAAGCATCATTTCGAGTTCTTTTCAGACTTAGGTTTCCCTTTTTAAAATTTCTTTTCCCTTTATCCTTTAAAAAATCTTATTGTCTCTCGACTTTTTGATTTTTGCTTATCTGCAACAATTATTTGAATAATCTGAATATTAATCCTTCTCAGGTAAACTGCTGCAAGTAGCTTCTACCTGTCTTTTATCTTGCCTATGCTGTCCTCTAGTTCTGAGATAGAAATATTTGTCAACTTTCATCTTTATTTTGTACTTTTAAAGCCTTGTTTAAGAAACTCAAACTAATAGTATGGTCATAAATATATTTTTACCTAGATTTATTACATTTCCTCAATTAAAATACTTTAAATTCACCTCTTAGATCCATATAAAGTTTATTCTTATATGGCATGAGATCAGGATTTTCTTTATATAGTGACCCAATTTTCCCAATAACATTTTCTAAGTAATATGACTTGCTCCTACCTCCTAGTGATTTTAACACCTCCCCCCATTACAACCAAGTTCTCTTAATCAAACTCAACATGGCCAAAAATAAATAATCCAGTTAAGAATTAGCAGAAGACATGAACAGACATTTCTCCAAATAAGACATACAAATAGCTAAGACACATGAAAAGATGGTCAACATGACTCATCATCAGGGAAAAACAAGTCAAAACTGCAATGAGATACTACCTCCCATCTGTCAGAATGGCTAAAATTAACAACTCAGGAAACAATAGAAGTTGGCAAGGATGGAGAGAAAAGGGAACCCTCTTACAATGTTGGTGGGAACATGACCTGGTACAGCTACTCTGGAAAATAGTGTGAGGGTTCCTCAGAAAATTAAAGATAGAACTACCCTATAACTCAGCAATTGCACTGCTAGGTATTTATCCAAAGGATACAAAACTACTGATCCAAAGGAGCACATACACCCCAATGTTTATAGCAGCACTATGAACAATAGCCAAATTATGGAAAGAGCCCAAATGTCCATTGACTTATGAATGGATAAAGAAGATGTGCAATATTACACAACTATCAAAAGAATAAAATCTTGCCATTTGCAAAGATGTGGATGGAGCTAGAGTGTATTATGCTAAGCAAAATAAGTCAGTCACAGAAAGACAAATACTATGATTTCACTCACATGTGGAATTTAAGAAACAAAAACTGATGAACATAGGGGAAGGGAAGGAAAAATAAAAGAAGATAAAAACAGAGAGGGAGGCAAACCATAAAAGACTCTTAAATATAGAGAACAAACTGATGAAGGCTGCTGGAGGGGAGGTGGGTGAGGATAAGGGCTAAATGGGCAATGGACATTAAGGAGGCCACTTGTTGGGATGAGTACTGGGTAACAACATGTAAGTGATGAATCACTAAATTCTACTCCTGAAACCAATACTACAGTATATGTTAACTAACTTGAATTTAAATTAAAAATCTTGGAATTAAAAAAAAGAGACCAAGTTCTCATATAAAAGGATCTGACCCTGGATTCTATTCTCTTCTACTCTATCTGGTAGTCTACAAATTTGTTCCCACATTATTCAAATAGGTTATTCTGTTCTTATCTATTCTTATTAGTGTGTAAGAAGCATAAGATTTACTTCTTATGAGTCTGAGGGATTAAGAGGACCCAAACATTGTTTTTCAAGATTTTACTATTTAAATATCTATTTATATGAAATTCTCACAACTAGTAAATACCTATTACAACACAAAATAAGTAAAAATTTAATGAAGGAAAGAAAAAAATTCCTAAGGAAATTGGTATTTGTTTCACCCATTTCACAATGTCAAATTCCATTTTATTAGACCATCTAGTCTATAATATCTAATTTTAAGAGAGAAATTACAAAAATGTAAGGTACACTAGCTCTATATCCACATTGCATTATAGCTATGAAAATCTCTACCTATAATCTTCCATTAAACTGTCTACTCTATATTAGAGACATAATCTGTAATACCATGAGATATCTATAAACCATAAATACAGACGCATTCCTTCTTTGTGGATATCTGAGAGAGACCACAAAGTATTAAAGATTTTTTATATTTACTCTTACAAATCAATAGAAAAGCGAACCTCATTCATTTCTTTAACAGTTTGAATATTCATTTCAATTTCTTAAGAAGTTTCTATCTGTACTCTTCTGAAGGAGAGTTATTATCATACCCAGGATGATACCATGACCTACACTCTAGTTAAATCATAAAATATAAAAAATAAATTTAAACTAGCAAACATGGTATTTAAGAAAACAAAACAGTGACATCAAGGCCCACAGCATTATAAGGCTCCTTCCCCACAACAGCTTAACAAGAACAACAAAGGAAACTTACCTAAGAAATCAATAATTTTCAATGTGGTCACTTTTATTTTGTCATAAAGTGAATTCTTGAAAAACACTACAAAAAGCAAGCAAATAAGGTACCCTAGGTACTGAATATGGAGGAGTATAATTTTTTAAACTTTATGATGAAACTTTGCAAAGTGAATAGTGCAATAAAATCCAATATGCTTCCACCCAGATCCAACAGCACTTTTTATTTTTTCTTTATGATTTAATGTAATGTCTAGTAGTCAATCACATATATAGGGGCATTCACTCTTAATACATCAGTTTGTACCTCCAAATAATTAGTAACATTATCTTGCAAAATAACACCATTATCAAAACAAAAAATTGCTAATAACTCTGTTAATATAACATTTATGACCAAATAAGTGTAAAAAAACAGAAAACACAGATTATATTTCCATTTCATTATGACCACTAATAAAGATTTTCAAAGCAACTATAAGGAGAGCGCAAGAAGTGATAGTGCATGCAACTATAGTACAGCCTAATATTCATTATAGACTGGCAAAAAGTATCCACAGATTGTCAAGAATAACAAAAGATTCAAAGTTTAAAGTAATTTTATTGAATGTTGAATCCAAAGCTATTCCTAAAGTTCTCATTTCCCCCTATATTCCTACCAGTGTCAGGGACTGGAAGGCTGGGGATAATTGGCTTCAGAAATTTAAACTCATTGGACCCCGAGTCTCCCGTCAGACACACCTCATACTGGTAGCTCTGCGACAAGGTCCCCGTGCCGCTGACGTCCACCAAGTGGCCCGGAAAGTGGCCCTCGGGCCCCGAGCAGGCGACTCCGCAGGCGCCGGCTCCATGCTCACAACCCGCACCCGCCACGACACCACACACGAGCAGGAAGAGCGAGCGACACGGGACATGAAAGCGACGAATACCCAAGAGCACGGTGAGGACAGGGTCCAGGACCCGCTCTCACGAACCTTCCACCTGCCATACCGGGGAGGGCAGGTGACGGGCAGGACCTGCTTTGAGAGCAGACCCCAGCGACACGTGCAGCGTGACTGGCTGACGCGCGACTCGCCAGTGATCCTATAATCTTTCACCAACCTGTGGCCCGGGAAAATCGCGCTCGCTGCAGCCGGGGCCGTGACGCACCGCACTCGCGTTAACAGCCAGCCGGAGCAACCGGGCTCGTAAGGATCGACAGCTGTGCGACAGACCAGGCGTTCTGGCCCGGTCGCCGCACCGCACCACCTTGGTCACCGGTAGCCGCCTCTCTGCTGCACGCCCTGGGCACCAGCTTCGGTGCCAGAGCGCAGAGCCTCTCGGCGGAGTACAACCACTGAGAGCCGCTTTGCGTTATAGTCTCAGCACCACGCTGCAGCGCACCCAGCGCCCTGGCTGCTGAGCGGCGAGCGATATGACCGCGTACGCCCGGAACTTTTCGAGACAACCTGCAGCGCCCTCGTCAGGGACCTGAGCGCGAACAGCTGCCCGTTGTCCGCGTTGATGGCTCAGGGAGGCCGGGGTGCAGCTTGCAGGTCCGCAGGCGTACAGCAGTAGGTGACCTGGGCGTTGGCGCCCGAGTCCCTGTCCGTGGCGCTCACGCACTACCGCCGATGTCCACAGGGCAGGGACTCAATTGTTATTCTGGACAGCTGGGTGTATGGCGTGCATGTTGGCTGAGCAGGGGCGTTGTCGTTGACGTCGGAGACCGTCACGGTTATGTTGTGCTGCGTTTTCAGCCTAGGGGTCCCTAAGTCGGTGACGGTGATGGTGATGTTGTACTCAGATCTTGTCTCTCTGTCCAGTGCTTTTTCCGAAACTAGAGTGAAAAAGTTCTTGAAGGTTGGTTTCAGGAAAAAAGGGAGCTCGTCTTGAATAGAGCAAACCATCCTCCCATTGTCCCCGGCATCTTGGTCTCGGACGCTGAAAAGAGCAACCAGAGTCTCTGAGGCGTTCTCTGGAATTGTCTTTGTAAATGATGAGATGGTCACTTCTGGTGGATTATCATTTATATCTACTACTTTAACCAGAAGACTGCATTCTTCTGAAAGACCCCCACCATCTGTTGCCTGAATATTTATAGTGTAGAACTGTATTACTTCAAAATCCAGGCATGATCTCAAGTGAACCTCCCCAGATATTGGATTGATTTCAAATGTTTTACGAATATCTTCTGATGCATGCAAAAATGTGTATGATATTTTCCCATAATTTCCTGAATCCATATCCTTAGCAGAAATGGTGATAATCCAGGAGCCAGCAGGTGTGTCTTCCAGGACATGTACTTCATAGAGCCTCTGAGCAAACTCAGGGGCATTGTCATTGATGTCCAAGACCTTGATGAGAACCAAAGTTGTTCCAGTCCTGGGTGGAGATCCACCATCCAGTGCTATGAGTGTTAATGTGAGCTCAGGCTCCTCCTCATGATCTAATGCTCTGTCCAGGACCAGTTCTGGGTATATCTTTCCATCACCACTGTCTCGAATTTTAATGTAGAAATGAGAATTAAGGCTAAGTGTGTAGTTTTGGAGACTGTTGGTTCCTACATCCAAATCTTGGGCACTCTCCATTAGGAATGTGGTTCCACTACTGGTACTTTCTGATATTTTAATAAGTATTTCCTTGTCTAGAAACATAGGGGAGTGATCATTTATGTCTTTGACATGCAGCTCACCCCGAAAAAACTCTAAAGGATTTTCCAATACCATCTGAAAATGTAGCACACACGGCTCGGTGAAGCCACAGAGCTCTTCTCGGTCCAGTTTCTCATTTAGGAGCAAATCCCCCGTCAGTAAATCAAGTTGTAAGTGCTTTTCATTATCATCAGACACTACCCGGGCCTCCCGTGAGGACAGCTCCTCCACCCCAAGCCCTAGATCCCTTGCAAGATTTGCCACAAAAGAACCAACTTCTGTTTCCTCTGCCACTGAATATCGCACCGATTCAGGACCCGCCTGAGATAATCCCAGCAAAACAAAGAGAATCAGGACTTGCCTTTTCTGCAGAGCGAGCACCCCTTTGATCTCCATGGCTCCTTCCAGCAACCTCTTTTGTAGAAAAATTTAAGTTCAGCCTTAATTTTGGAAGCTGAAGCTGAATTTTAAAAAATAAGATCCCCCCCCCCCCCCCGGAGAGTATATAGTCCTCTAGCAGCTTTAGTAGATGAAGCTCCTTTACTCCCTCTCTTCTCAGTGGCTTGGATGTTCTCTGTTCCCTGAATAATGGAGCCCACAGTGTTGTCCATGCACTGATTTCATCTTATCCTACAGCGCCACCATGTGTTTCCATGAATTTTTTTTAAAAATTTTGTTTTCTTTCAACAAATAATTCATGAATACCTCTGGAGTATTTTAAAGCAAATCCCAGACATATATCTTTACCTCTAAATACTTCACCAAGTATCTCTAATAGATAAAGGCTTTAAAATATAAATACGATACCACTATTAAAACCAGCAAATTTAGCAATAATTCCTTGATATACTTTATACTCAGTCTGTGTTTGGTATTCCTCATTTTTCTCCAAAATATTTTTTACTGTTGGTTTGTTTGAATCACGATCCAAACAAAGTCTATACAGGGCATTTAATTAGTGCTGTTTTGAATGCTGACAAGAAGACTCTATTAAAATGTCTTGAACTGAAGGGAGGTTGGGAAGAAAGATGTCCTGAATTGAAGAAATAATATTTTATTTAGGCCATTTCTTGAGAATTTCAAATATATTATCTCCTTTACTCTTGTAAATACTTTTGAATTCAGTTAACTATAGTTAGTAATGTCATTACCTTTTTCTCACATATTTTAAAAATATACATGTGGGGGCACCTGGGTGACTCAGTCAGTTAAGCCTCGCTCTTGATTTCAGCTCAGGTCATGATCTCACCGTTTGCAGGATCCAGCCCCCACATCGGGCTCTGCACTGACAGTGTAGAGCCTTCTCAGGATTCTTCCTCTCCCTCTCTCTCTGCCCCTCCCCTGCCTGTGCTCTGTTTCTCTTTCTCAAAATAAATAAATAAACATTTTAAAAAATTTAATTTACATGTAAGAATGTGGAATAAATAAAATAGATTTAGTCCTTGTCTTTATGGAGTTCACTGGCTGAAAATTTGGCAGACACATTATTAAAATATTTCACAATGTATTCATAGGTAAAGAGTAATAGAGAAATACCTAGAAGGGCCATCTTGTACCTAGGAGGCAGCATAGCATATGAACATGGATTCTGGAACCAAAATATTTACATTTGAATCCTACTTCTACCATTCAATATCTTCAGTCTTAGACAAGTAATGTACCTCTGTTTCCTTACCTGTAAAATAGGGGTGATAATGGTATTTACCTCCTAGGATTATTATAGTAGGAATCAAATGAATTAATATTTACAAAATTGCTAGTAAGTGCTAGTTAAGTACCTACTAAAAAATAAAATCTAGCCCAGATTTTTGAACATCAGTGAAAGCTTTCCTAAGGTAGTAAACTATAAGTTGTGATCTGAAGGAGCTAGCCAGGAGAAGGAGTGTTTCCGGCAGACCTTTTGAAGAACAGAAAGAAGTTAAATATGCCCTGAACTTTAAACCATAGAAGGGGATAATTTAAAAATGAGACTGGGGGGAGCTCTGGGTGTTGTATGTAAGCGATGAATCATGGGAATCTACCCCCCAACCCCCGCAAACCAAGAGCACACTGTATACGCTGTTTGTTAGCTTGATAATAAATTATATTTAAAATATAAAGGAAACTGATACTAAATGTTTTTGTTCCCCCAAATTCACATGTTTAAACCTAATCCCCAGTATGATGTTATTTGGAGAGGTAAGGCCATTGGGAGGTGATTTGGTCATTAGGTTGGAGCTCTCATGGGTGGGATTAGTGATCTTATAAAAGAGATCCTAGAGAGCTCCCTTGTGAGGACACAGCAAGAAGAGAACCACTAGGAAGTGGACTCACCAGACATAGAATCTGCTTACACCCTGACCTTGGACTTCCCAGCCTCCATAACTGTGAGAAATAAATGTTTGTTGTTTAAAAAAAAAAAGGGAGACTGGCGGGGGTGGGGGGAGTGGGGTGAGGACACAAGTTATTATATAGGATATAGCATGAATTTAAAATTTTATCCTATGGAAAATTATAACACAATGTAGAGTTTTAAACATTTGATTAACATGATTGCATCTGCATTTTTGAAAAATCAGTTTGAAGGAAGTATAGAGAATCAATTTCAGGAGGAATGACTGGAATCAGAGACACCAGTTAGGAGATGGTGGCAGCCTGTTTAAAAGTAATGCTGGTGTGGATGGAGAGAAGAGGGATGCTTAGAAAGATACTTAGGATCTGGTCACTGATAGGTTGCATGTGGAGAAAAAAAAGGAATCAAGGATGATTAACACACTTCTGGACTTGGCAACTGGATGGTTAGTTGTGTCATTCCCTAAGACAGAGAACACTGAAGAACAAAAAAGACTGAAGTGGAAAAAGCTGAAGTCAATTTTGTACATGCTGATACTAACATGAATGCCTTGGGAGATATGTGTAAGTGTTCGCACATGCATGTCCCTATGTGGAGCTGTATGTAATTATATATAGAATATAAACTGGGGTAGATACGGACTTTGGGTTTCACCAGCATGTATATGGTGATTGAAACCATGAGAATTCTAAGATAATCAAGCAAAAGTATGTCAGGTAACAACAGAAGAGGCAAAAGTCTGAAAAAAACACCTTCATTAGAGGAGAGGGGAAATAAAGTATCTTTTAAAAGACAAAGACAGCTCAGAGTTGAGAATCATGAAACCAAAAGCAAATAGCATTTCAAGGATATGAGGAAGATCAATGGTAGCAAATGCTTCAGTAAACTCAAGAAAAATGAATGTTGAAATGATTTCTTGGATTAAGAAGATGGTCATTGTGGAGGATTCTAATAGATGTCTGCCAAAACCTGTTCCCTTTATAGAACAGGGAACCTGTTCCCTGTACCCAGGCACATTGGCTATTCATAGTTGCCAGTCCCAGTCTCCCTTGTAGTTAGGCATGGCCAATTGAATTAAGTTCTCACTGGGGCGCCTGGGTGGCGCAGTCGGTTAAGCGTCCGACTTCAGCCAGGTCACGATCTCGCGGTCCGTGTGAGTTCGAGCCCCGCGTCAGGCTCTGGGCTGATGGGTGGGAGCCTGGAGCCTGTTTCTGATTCTGTGTCTCCCTCTCTCTCTGCCCCTCCCCCGTTCATGCTCTGTCTCTCTCTGTCCCAAAAATAAATAAAAACGTTGAAAAGAAAAAAAATTAAAGAAAAAAAGAATTAAGTTCTCACTAACATTGTGAATAGAATTTTTGTTTGCCACTCCTAGGTCTAGAATAGAAGACATCTGGATGTGTTTCCTCCCTCCCAGCCAACTAGAACCTAGATGTGGCAGTGACTCAGCTACAGTCATGCAGATTATGACATTGCAGTAGGAAATGTAGGAGCAATTACTTGGAACAAAGGACTGTAATGAGCAAAGCTGCCTCGTATACCTAGTCATTTACACTTGAACTGTTTTAAGGAGATACACACTTTTACAAGCCACTATGTAATTGTACTGCTTTGTTCAGCAACATAACCTTATCTAACTTGTACAGAAATCTTCAATCACTTTTACAGTAGCGGTTTAGAATGGTCACAATGAAAATCAGATTGCACTTGGTTGTAAAGAGAGAAGGATAAGGAAGTAAAGATGACAATCCTTTCAAATTTAGCTCCAAAGAAAAAAATTGATAGTCTCTGGAGGAGTCTTGAGACTCAGTAGGGTTTTTTTTAAAACCTAGGGAAATTTGAACTTATTTAAAATGCTGATTTGTAGTATTCAATAGAGAGGGAGAAAAGAGAAGACTTAATCAAAGTGAAGCCCCTAGAAGGTGGTTAAAGATAGGATCCAGAAAACAAATGAAGGGATTGGACTTGGGTAGAAGGTCATTATAAGTACCGATGCTATCCAGTGTGTAGGTTTGGGGCCAGAAATTTAAGAGAATTCCTATCTGATAGATTCTATTTTCTTGGTAAGGTATTAAGCAAGTTATCTGCTGAAAGGGGTGGGTAAGTAAGTAGTAGAGTGAGAAATTTAAAGTAAGATAACTAGGTTTGAAGTAGTTGTTATGAAGAATAGAAGAGAAAACTGATTAGGAAAATATAAAATGATTTCTTGGTCTTGAAAGCCCAATTAAGTTTAGATGTGATAAAATTAGTGTGATAGTAGTGATAATTCTCTAACTTTCCACTTAGAGAGTGCAGCATCCCTGATGTGACAGAAGAGGAAGGAGACAATTATATTCATCTGGAGTGGATTTTCATCAGGTGGTTTTTGTGAAGGAAAATTGAACAAGAGAATAGAGAATATGGGCATGAGGATGATTAGAAGTGGTAGACCAGGGAATCACCTGAACAGGAGAGAAATTAGAACATGAAGGGAGTTAATATATAGTAAAAGCATCATGGAATAAAGATTCTAATAAGGTAAAGACAAAATGTGACAGGAATAGCAGAATGAGAGGATTAAAGACATAGTGGATTATATTCTCAGAGAGATATCTGAAATTTTTATTTCATATAAAGAACCAATTTGGGGTGGTGGAAAAGTACAGCACATGGCCAGGGCATAAGGATTGAGCCAGAGGAGAGGTGAATATCTAGGGATTGAAAAGCCATGTTAGATTAACCAGTGGACCTGGGAGTGGTAGCAGGACTTGAGGTAGAAAGGAGATGAGCAGAACAAAGTGTTTGTAAGCTAAAATGTCTTTATGTCCTTTCTCATAGTGAATCCCAACGTAAATTTTTACTTGATTTTTATTGGTAACGATTTTCAGGGAAATCATCTCTGGGAGGCTGGGCCATCTCTCACATCTCCGTTTTGTAAGTGACCTTTTCCCCAGTGGACAATGTATAGTCCTTTGATATAAAATTGGCTGATGCAGTTTGAATTCTATGCATTGGCTTAAATTTAACTATAAATGAGTTATTTGATGCATAAGAACAAAATTTGGTTTTAGTTATACCTTTGAAGAGAATTGGTTGGTTGCTTTTATCTGGGCATCTGAGCTCCTGAAGGCCTGGCCACTCTCCATTAGAGTCAGGAAACACATAGTTCTTTTTATAAATACACAAGTCCCAAGTCCTCCTGTTCAGATTTCTGGAAAAACTTGAAGCAAGAAAACCTAGTTTTTTTTTCTGCTCTTGCAACACATTAGATTTTCTGCCTGAGCTATTTGAAATTTTTTAATTTACATTTATTTATTTTTGAGAGAAAGAATGAGACAGAGCATGAGCAGAGGAGGGGCAGAGAGAGGAGACGCAGAATCTGAAGCAGGCTTCAGGCTCTGAACAAGCATTCGGCACAGAGTCTGATGTGGGGCTCAAACCCGTGAACTGTGAGATCATGACCTGAGCCTAAGTCAGACACTTAACTGACTGAGCCACCCAAGCGGCCCGTGCCTGAGCTATTTGAACTGCACTTTCCCCCTCCCATATTATAGATGACAGAAGGCCCATCTAACTTGGGACACAGGCTGCTAGAACCACTCTCACCACTGCTATTAATAGCATTATTGACATATCACTTACATACCAGAGAGTTTTCCCATTTAAAGTGTACAGTGCAATGGTTTTTAGTATATTTCCAGAGTTGTGCAATTATCACCACAGTCTAATCTCAGAACACCATGCCCTAAAAAGAAACCTGTTACCCTTTAGCCATTCTCCATCCTATACCCTCCCTCCAGCTGTAGGCAACCACTAATCTGCTTTCTGTCCCTATAGATTTGCCTGTTCATAACATATCATACGAATGGGATCATACAATATAGGATATTTTTAAAGTTTATTTATTTATGAGAGAAGGCACAATTTGGGGAGAGGAAGAGAGAGAAGGAGAGAGAATCCCAAGCAGGTTCCATGTAGTCAGCACAGAGCCCAATGTGGGGCTCAAAAACAATGAGATCACAACTTGAGCTAAAGTCAGACACTTAACCAACTGAGCAACCCAGGTACCCCAAGAGAGGAGGTAACCTTAATACTTTACTTTGATTTATAAATTTTTTTATGAATCTTTGTTCTCTATGTAAAGCAGCTTTCATTTAGGGGAGGAAAGAACTTGCTCCTAGTTCCACTTATAAAAATAGGAAATTAGAATTTAATTAGCCTGCAGAAGAAACTTCTGTTCCCTCCATTTGTCTTGAATTCAAAGCATTATGAATCAGTTCATGCAGTTCAGAAGAACTGGTAGTGAAATTGTAGCTTTCAGAAAGTGTGAACATTATTTTGGATATGCTAGAGCAAGAGATTCTGCTTCCCGACATTAACTAATACCTAGCCCTGCTAATTGATAAAATAAAGTTTTTAAATTTATTAAAGAGGCAGTTTCTGGCACTGATTCTAGAGGTACTAGAGGTAACAGAACAATCATTTTCCTCACCCTCACCCATTTCATCCTTTCTGTGCCTACTCTCTCTCTCTCACACACTTCCTTTCCTCGATAGCCTCACTCATTTTGTTTCTCTACACTTTCCTTCCACAATGTATAGACTTTGGGCTTATTGATGAGATTCACTGGCAAACTCTTGCCCAACAATGAAAGCTTTCTCTTCTGTAATGTAGTCACATTACTAAAGCCAAGAGTGGTTTGTTGGTGCCTGTGCTGCATTAGACAAAACTTTCTCTTACAATGTGTTCGAAAAAAAAAATGTTTTGAATTAGAACCTTAAAGGATTATCATTTGATACTTCTCAATGCTCTCCAAATACTTACATATATCTCTGAGAAAAGTGGTTTTCACACTTTGGATTACAGTCCATTATTAGTAGGGTCATGAAATCACTTTAGTGGATCATAACCATGCTTGAAAATTAATGAGAATGGAATAATACGGGCAATTTCAGACTTCATAAAAAATCTAATAATTATTTACAAAACATTTCTTTCTATTATGTTTGTATATTACATAATATATACAACATAACTTTTCTGTTGGCTGTCATTTTACATTTAGAAATTAGTACCCAGGAGCACTGGCTGGCTCAGTCGGTAAAGTGTGCAACTCTTGATCTTGAGTCATGAGTTCAAGCCCCACGTTAGGTGTAGAGAGGACTTAAAAATGAATTAAAAAAAAAAAAGAAATTGGTGCCCTGTGTGTGTGTGTGTGTGTGTGTGTGTGTGTGTGTGAGATTCTGGGAGGATACAGAAAGCAAAAATTATAAATATTAGTATACAGTCCACTTTATGCTATACAAATAATTATTCAGATGGAGTCAAGTGGATTCTATTATAGCTTTGTAATATCAACAAGAAATCTGGAAAATTATAACTTCATATTCCAAGACTCTCTGGGTAGCCACAATATTGATATGCTTTCACAATCACTCTCCAGGATGCATGAAGAAGAGATGCTAAAAATTTGGCTCTGGCCCTTTCTAACAAGGTGATTACACTTACAATTCTATTAAGGACATGATTTTTCAGGTGTATTTTAAACAGCAATAAACATTTTTAAATGTTAATATAAATGCAGTGAATTTAAGGAAACAAAAATTACATTTCTGAATAGTAACCATTACTACACCGCAAGAAAAAAATGCAAGAAAGAATGAAGAAATACTTGCACACTTGAAATACTCTGAAAATGGTCTGCTTTATTTTACCATAAGCATAATTGTGGGTGAAAGTTCAAAATTCAACTGGAGAGAGGGTCATGGACAAAAAGTGATTTGGTGTTATAACTTAAGGACGCAAACTCATTACACATTAAGACGCCTTGGATTACAAAATAAATAACCTTCTCATTACAATCACAAAGATAAACATTCTCTTAAAAGTAAAAATGGGTAGAATTTGTGACAGTATAAATGTACACTGAATACAATTTAAAATACACACAAATTAGGGGAAATAGCATTGATTTGGAAGGGGCAACAAAAAAGTGTCATATGTGGAATATAAAAGCTACTTATGTCACTATATATTGAACCCAAAGCTATTGCCGAAGGTAGGATTTTCTTCCGTTTGTTTCCCAGAGCACTGGGGTGGGAGGTTCGGGATAATCGGCTTCAAGAACTTGAATTCATTGGTTCCAGATCCTCCCCGCAGACACACCTCATATTGGTAGCTCTGCGACAGCGTCCCCGCGCCGCTGACGTCCACCAGGTGGCCCGGAAAGTGGCCCTCAGGCCC